TATATAGCACATGACAGGCAAGAAGCATTGCCTATCGAGAGAGACTACGTTGATCCGAAAATAGCGCAGAAAGTATCAATCAGTACAAAACAAAGAGGGGGCAGCACTCACCGTGTTATACTCGGGATGCTTCTCCAGGGCTGTTTGCAACGCCCTGTATGCACACTTCAAGCCGCCTGTCAATAAGATAAAGAAAACAAACAATAAGATATAGAAACTGTGTGGTTAAACACAAAGAAAGGTTTGCGCATCAGCGTATGTACTCATATTGGGATGCGGTCATATATATAAATATATATATATATATACATATACATATATATTTTAAGACAGTATACGTACGCGATGCACCAACGGACAAGCCCCGCTACTAATCGCTATTACAGGTTGCACTTATATAGTCCGTATTTGTAGACGTCACAACCTTCTCGTAAGCTATGCACATGTACTTGTACATAGTGGTAGTGTACTGCATGCGCTATTTGCCATACGCACACAGCGCATACCCGACGACAGCTCAACATCGGCGAATTGCACCAACCACCAGACACCGACCCATCCCCTAAACTAACACACCTCTTATTGGTCAAGGAGTGACCTATTCCTCCCTACTGTGGACGTACTCAGGTGCTAATCTCTTATTGGTCAATGAGTGACCTATTCCTAACTACTGTGGACTGACTCAGGTGCGAGTACCGCAATAGTAGAAGTGGCAATAGAACTCACAACTCATCTCATCTGAACTAACACACCTCTTATCTGTCCACGAGTGACCTATTCCAAATTACTGTGGATCTGACCCAGGTGCTAATCTTTTATCTGTCCACGAGTGACATTCCTATTACTATAGAAATGCTCAGGTGCTATTCTCTTATCTGTCCAAGAGTGACCTATTCCTACATACTGTGGACTGACTTGGGTGCGAGTACCGCAATAGTAGAAGAGGCAATAGAACTCACAAGTCATCTCATCTGCGCCACCACCGCAGTCAGCGGTGGCCATATGGATGGGGGATGACTCATATTTGGCATTCATTGCTATCGCCCACAGTGTCAGTAGACTTATGATACGAGTATACAAGCTACGATGCACCCAGGGCAAGGAGTGTGACGGTGTGTATATATAACCACACTCATATGTATACTAACGGTAAACAACTACACGTACACACACAAAGGAATCGGTTGTCATGGGGACACCGCCTATTGTAACGATCATACCAACATAGCACTCCAAACACACCTTGTGCATATGTGAACAAAGCACCTACATATACATATACCTACATAGGTTTATGTGTAATACAGGTATGTGCATTGGTACATGTACATGTATAATACAGGTATGTACATTGGTACATGTACATGTCTACGTGGGCGGTAGCATCCATCGTATGCAACACACACACCCGCAGTGAGTGCAGATGCGACAATCCCACACCAATACCACCGATAGACTCCCACCCACAGACAACTATGCTGCACTTGCACCACATGGTGTCAACATGCACAGGAGATGCAACCGCTAGACAAATACATGCAGAACTCACACAACAACCTTCTGCCAATGTCAGCAATGTTACACACGCAGAGCCATGACAACACCATATATATATATATATTTATATACATACACACATATATACATATCCTACCAATATCAGCAATGTTTTCTCCCTGAGTGAGGTCTCCGTTGACAAACTGTCCTGGTGCGACTTCATAGGCGGAGTACTGATCGATGATGGGCTGTTTGTTCTTTGTAAAGCTACAGCGCACAGTTCAACCACACGTGCAAATGAGCATTTAGATCAGGGTATGGGCGGGCGACAAAGTAAAAGGAGGTCAGTTGTAACGCAAAAAAAGAAAGACTATATCAATACACAAAGTGTCTGTGAATGGGATGTTTTAGGGTTTAGGGGTTTATTCTTTGTGACAGTGTACCTATAAAACAATGCAGAAGGTCTAGGGTTATAGGGTTTAGGGTTTACGTTAGTTGGTGGATAGTATACGCTCCTTGGCATAGGCCAGATACGTTGCTATGCCAAATCGGTATTACATACTACAGACAACCATTCAGTGTTATATATACACTT